TTAAAATATCATTTGGTAATTAGAAAAAACACACAGATATCACATGCAATTGCTATTTGAATTGGCAATAAGTAGGTGTCAAATTATTCTGTTTTGTCCCCTCGATCATATTGCTTTCATCACCATATTTCTTTGGTGCAATATTTCAAAACTTCTGGACTTGTTGGGCAAGGTCTTGGATATCCTCTTGAGCGGTCTGTAACCATTTTTCGTTTTCTCCGTCCCTGGTCTCCACTGCTGTGAATCTTTTGCCCAGAGTCCCCAGCTCAGCTTGTGCTGCCCGCAGGTCCGCTTTCCACACCTGTCTCATTTCTGTCAAGAGGCATTTGATGTCTCTTTTCGTTGCCGGCGACGAGTCTTCCTCGGAGTCGGACTCGCTGTTGGTGCATCTAGCCGGGGTGTTCCTTGTGGGTTGCTCTGCGTCTTGCGATGTCTCTGAGGCCTCATCCTCGCTCTGCACTGTAGGCACCATTTGGGAATGGCCCCCGGGGTAGGCCTGTCCAATCGAGAGCCTGGTATCCGGTAGTTTTCGGGTATTCAGTACGTGAATTTTTTATTTTTTTCGCCCCATCATGTTGACTGGGAGGGAGTGGTGGGAGCCGTTTAAGTAGGTTAATCTACTGATTTTTGGCCTCTGTGGAGGAGCTCTTCTCAAGCATGTCTTTCTTGTTGCTCAGTCAGCCATGCCATAATTTCTGAGCTTTTGCCATGGAAACCAATGCATTGCTTGATAGGTTAAGAGTGCCTTATTTTTGCTGTGCCTGCTATGTTGGCCAATACCTTTCTTGCTCTGCTTTGCATTGTGTTGCAGGGCCACTGTTGCAATGAACCTATGTAATATTCTTCTGTGATAAAATGGCTGTTATTGTGTTTGCCAAAGTACATATATTTTTTATGTCCCTTGTGCCGTAAAATGTTTGTGTTGCCAGCCATGCCATAAAACAGTTACAGAATCTATTTCTACTTGTCAGGATCTGCAATATAGAGAAACATGTAATCCCGTTTTTCTGTACATCTGTGTATAGTTGTCAAGTTTGTGGGTTGTTGTTTTTTTTAGTGAAAATATTCAATTAAATCTTTTAAAACCCTCAATAAAAAAAAATAGAAAAACTAAAAAGAACATTTTGTCAAGTAAGAAAATATTTCCATATTGGGTGCTTCGGTTTAAACTTTCTAACTTCATTCTCTAGTCATCACAACTCATTGTTAGTGAATAAATCTCTCAAGTTAAAGTGTGTGTGTTATGCTATGATCTAACCATTGCTATCCGTAATTGTATCCTCTCAGTTTATACTCAAAGAATGATTCTCTGGGACTATAAATGGAGCTCTGATTATACTCCTGCTCCTCTGGTGTGTAAGTGAAGCTCTGACTGCCGGCATGCTCTGTGTAAGTGAATTTTCCCTGAGAAGGCTGCTTCTCCGGGTCTGTAGTTGGAGGTGCCGTTGCAGTGATGCTCCCCTGGGTCTATAAAGAGCTGCCATTGACTAAGCCTTTATTTGCGTTTTAAAGCCTTTACGTTGTATGAACAAGGTTATACATTAAGATGCAGGCTGGGATTTCCGAATCTGTCGATTTGCTTCAAAGTAACAGGAGTTGAAGTGCTGAAAGGCGCTGTTTGTGTTTGTTACCGGGGTGAATTATTTAACTCCCCCCTTACCATATCATTGAGTAGTTCAATAGCCGCCTTGTGGGCTTCATTAAATGACATTCATGGGGAGAGATCTTAATACAAACCCTCTGTTTCTTTAGCCAGGTTCTTCTGTGGCGTTTGTACTCACATCTTCATTTCCCGTCTATTCACACTTTGACAATTCACTTTTTAATCCCTAAACATTGGATTTATTCTCTTCTCAGAGTAAACGGCTTATTGCCAGGGGTGAAGCTGGTTCTCATGCCTTGCTCTCCCCCTCCTAGTATTTTTCCTCTGTTTTTAATAAAATCAGCCGATTTTATGTTTGTGTTATTTATAGTCATTAAAGAGGGAGTAACAATGAGCGAGAGGGAGTGAAAACAAAGTAATAAAAGATTCTGCTTATTGTTCCTCATTTTTAGTTCCAGAATGAGCCTCGAACATGACTTACGAGGCTGGTTTGCTTAATGCTACATCTATTTGTCAATGTCCCTTTAATACATTATTACATTGTCTGAAATATATAATAAAACACAATTTATTCATCAGAGCCGCTGCCCATCTTTGCTCTTTACTTATTAAATGCAAATATTTAAGGCAAATCTTAGGTCAGATGTTTTTCCAAAAAATACTGTCTCGTATGACATCATTGCTTTAATGGGATCCAAATCTACATCAGATGATCTATAGAGACGACTCCATGAAACCAGTTCTCAGCGTTATTATAAGTCTTTTCTCAAGTTACTGCAAATGTAAACTTTATTTCTTGACATTTTCACATCAGCGATTATATTGTAAAGATAAAATAAAAGACTCAATCATTTCAAGCAAGCCACGGCAGTATTATTTGTAGAATAATTTATAAATTACTGTGAGCTCATAGGAGAAGAAAGTAAATTAAAACAAAGAAATATTCATCTTATCCCCTATTTTTTAAGGCACTGTAAGGTCTTTAGCTTGCTTTTTTTGATCTTCCAATTCATTGATTTACGGTAAAGACAGACTTAGATAAACTCAAAGAATTAGGATGCCTGGAACAAAATAATGAGAAAATGTATTTATTAGGTGCAGGCAGTAAAAAGGGCAAATAAAGATGGGTTTGGGCAGGGCAGGATGCAGCAGTCTTATAAATAGGTGGCAATGTTTTGGGTGGACACGTACCAGGAGAGCTAATATTATGCCTGCATAGAGTCATGTGGCCTCCTGTGCCTCATGTCCCGTAGAATGTTTGAAGGAACACAATAGTGTTAGGAATACTTACCTACAATGTCACTGTCCCTAGATCTATAGAGATCCCCCCAGATTTGCAAAAAAAAAGATTCACTGGTCACATCTCTGCCTCTTGTGATGTCATGGAGGAGGCCTGGCCCAATCCAATGATCTTCATAGAAATCTTTTTTCCATGCATGGTGAGCTTCTGCATAGGGGGCTTCTGCGTCACATGATTTAATTTTACATGGATGGTGAAGCCTACTAGTGGTGGACTTCACTGGCAAAACGGCAATGTTTTACATTGCCGGGTTAAAACTAAAAGCTGCTAAAGAGATGGCAAAGCTGACACTTTTACATAGGGCCGCTATGCAGAGCAGAGCTGAATTATATTTGTAATGAAGTATAAAAACTTTAAAGGAACATAACATTCAACCAGACCATATTTGATCTCTGTAAACGGCCTTTTTGATTCCAGATAAGTATCATTATCTTTTGTAAAGTGAAACCTGGAAATTTCTAAATAAGTGGAGTATCGGATGGTGGTACCAGGGACATATTAGCCGCGAGGCAAACAAGGCATTTGCCTTGGGCGGCACTTTCCAGGGGGCAGCAAAAAAAGCCGCCCCCAAATGCCCAGGGCAAATGTCTTGTTAGCCTTGCAGCTAACTGACAAGCCGGGCGGCGCTGGCGAGGGAGCACTTTCCCCTGAGCTGTCTGCTCGCGCGAGGGAGGCACTTTCCAGGGGGCAGCAAAAAAAGCCGCCCCCAAATGCCCAGGGCAAATGTCTTGTTAGCCTTGCAGCTAACTGACAAGCCGGGCGGCGCTGGCGAGGGAGCACTTTCCCCTGAGCTGTCTGCTCGCGCGAGGGAGCCTGAGTTTTGTCCTGCCTAGGGCAGCACAAAACCAGGATACACCACTGGGTGGTACATAGAAGGACTGGACATTTTTTCCTTTAATTCATTACAAATATACACAGAAAACAAATTAAACACAATAAACATAATAATAAACAAAATAACATTTGATGTTCCTGCCTGCATTTGCTGTAAATCCTCAGGCTTTGAAGCTTCTTTGAAGCAGTGAACCACCAAACTGCAAAGTAGCTGCTTGAGCTTAAAAAATGATGCTCCCATAACTTTACATGGAAGTGCTGAGGTCTTCCTATATATCACTGCACAGCCAGGCTCTCCGTTACCTGCAGAAAGCTGACTGATATACTACAGGATAGTACAAGTACTTGTATGGGCAGTGAGAAGACTTCTTCCCCATGTGACATCTCTGAGTAAGGGTTCCGCTTCTTGATCACCATTCAGATGTATACCCAATGGAAACAGGAGCCAAAACAGTGTAAAACAATGTAACACGCTATGTGGCATTTTCCTTCTGGAAGCCTTGTGGATATTATGACTGATATAATATTGGTACAGGTACCCTTTGTGATAGCATGTGTTGGCTAAAACCAGATCTGAGTTCAGAATTCTTTGTTTTGTCAAATTTGCTTTGAATATCCTTTTAATGGATGCTAAGTACATTATTATTCCTCCTGTTCATTTATGGATGGGAAGATTATTTTACAAAAAGCCAATTCCTTCCCATATTTAGGAGTTTGGAACGCTGCAATTTCAAGGAGATAAATTTTTGCGACTTGAAGAGAATGAGATTAATGGAAGACTCCTACAGATCTCATAATATCTCATTATTAAACAACAGTTTTATATGAAGGGAAGCAGGCCTTATACGCACTTTACCTAAATATAGCATGTGGCTTTTGGAATATTACTTCATCATGTTAAACTATAAAACGCAAGGACTAAGGTTACACGACAGCAATAAAATATCTGACGTTTATAAAATGGTAAATGTTTATTTCGAATGCTTCGTGAAGAAAAATATACATAATATAATGCAATAGATCTTAACAAATAAGTGTGGCACATGCATATATATTCATTATAAATCACACAGTTAGAGGTTGTAATTCACCGCCGCGTGTCTGCGTTATAACTGAGCAGTGTTGTCCCTTGCATACATTTTGTTCAACACAACAGCTTGCTAAAATTTGTTCTATTGCTGTGGAGCTCTGTGATACACTCATGCACACTGCACTTTTCTGTGTTTTATTGCTGTGAAGCTCTGTGATAAACACAAACACATTGCATGTTACTGTGAGTTTTATTTCTGTGGAGCTCTGTGATACATTGATACATGCACGTTGCCTAAGCTTGTGTCTACATCAGTCAACATTGCATGAATTTCAGCTCCCCTTGTGTGAATGAAAGTGCGAGTAATTTTAGCATCTATATGTATCACAAGCTGGTTTATTAGTCAATACCTCTACATTATCTGATCTTTAGTGTTCTCATTAAGCTAACGGAAAGCGGTAAATGTTTTTAATTTTAGATTTTGAATGTAATACAACACAGCTGTGACCGGAGTTTAAAGACCAGTGTGTCGTGCAGTGAAGTTCAGTTTCTGCTGAATTATAACAAACTCTCCTTGTCCATATAAATGCACGTCGATGGTGACCTTGGTGGCATCCTCACACAGAGAGAAGATATATATTTGTCCTTTATGTCCTCTTCATCCATGCAGTACATTAATGATGGCCTCTGCAGATTGTGACGGGCATGTATGGTGAGCCTGGAGGTGTTTAAAGTGTCTACGTGGTGAGATGAGACATTATTCATGACATTCATCGCACGTAACGATGGCAGTCTCCATCTGTCAAATCAATGTATTGTATGTGAATGACACCAACCACATGATCTATGAGTTTCTTGTACTAAAAAAAGCCTTATTTACTTGTACATTCCCCAGCCAGGTTTACAGCCCTCCCTTGATGGTCTCCTTAGCAAGGCAGATGTACACTATAGATTTTTTTTGATGGTCTTATCACCTAGAGAGATGCAAATTGATGATGGCTGCCTTGGCCTCTTTATATAAAGAGATATACATTGATGAAGTTTGGGATTTTCAAAGCATTAAGATATTAGAAGAGGACAAGAATGAGTTAAAACTGAGTGAGGTCCGGTTCTGCAGACAGGGTGTCTCACATGTTTTTTTTCTTTCAATCCTTACACAATGACATGAAAAGAAATCTCTCCTTTCACACTGGAACTTAACTCAACAGCCAAAATCTCCACCCCATGCACAGCCTGTGTGCGGCCTCCAGAACATCTCAGGTGGTTTGTAATTAAATGACTTGGGATAATCCCCCAATCAATAGGAAATAGTCTTTTCCTGCTAGTTGTACATTTTGTTTACATGGTGCCCTGCAACCCTCGACCTACCCTCAATAAACACAAATCCTTTTATTCTGATTGTCACGTTAAAGGCTCAACAAAGACAGCTCGATTCGACTGCCAGGCCAGGTAAACACACAGAGAGCAGGGAATTAAGCTGGGGTCGTGTGAGCCGAGACTTTCCACCAAGTCAACATGAAAGGATTGTCAAGATTAAATGTCACGCCAGCCAGAGAGGGGTCTGGGAGGGAGGCCTTGCTAGGCCTGTGTCCCGGATACTAATTCATGCAGTACAAACTTCCAGTCTGCAGCTTGTTCCTCTAGCAACCAGCAGGGGATCGTCTCCAACATTGGATAATCGTCCCACTTCGAGGTGGACAGTTTCTAAAAGAAGGACTTAACCCCCATGTACTAGAGATCACTTGGAGTTGTTTAAAAGCAGTCTTTTTTATCAAAGCTATTTTTAAGTAGAAGTTGAAAAGCAGGAATTACCTTTGAGACCAAAGGTCTGTAAATCTGCTTAACATGAAAGGGTTAAAAAGCAGTGTTCCCCATCGGCTGCTGCCGATATATATGCTTGACATCATAGAATATGACATCATAGTATGTGAAAGTACATTTGCAAAGGGAAAAGTGTGACGGACCGTCTGGCACCCCGACTGGGTGACTCCGCCAACCGATGCTCCTAGTGCTCACCGAGGACTCCAAGCACTCCACCCGACACCATCAGCACTGTAGTCCCCACATCCGCCGACCTCCACCCACCCTGGACCAAAGACCAGGATCCAGCTTCCAGTGGGTGAACCTCTCCTATTCCAGAGAACATAGCAGGAACAGCTCTTAAAAGAGCTAGTGATTATAATCCCAGGGGAGTATAGAGATATAGCGATCCCCAGGGTAGATACAAAAGTTTCCCCCACACATGAGATGAGACTCTATGTTGAGGGTAAGCAGGAATTTAATTTTAATGGTGCCACACTGGCCTTTTATGACAATCCCCATGCATGCGGTACACCCACATGGACCTTGTTGGGGACTCCAACACAAAGACACAGACCAATAAGAATACTGATTAAATGCACAACACTCCCATAACAAACATACAATCCCTCCCCTCTGCCTGGGAGATAAGTGAATCAGATACTGTATCAATTCAATTATCTCCAGGCATAAAAAAAACACATATTTTCACATAAGTCCCAAAAGTACCCCAAAAACACATAATATCCCCGGATAGCCCTGATCTGGGTGACCAACATATCCAAAAATCACCCAGATCAGTTCAAGGGTTCAGAAATTCTATGGAAGTCATTTATTTGACTATCCGCAGGCATGGTCCCATAGCCGAAAATAGTTCCATAGAATCGCGGCTAAGTGCCGCTGGAGGACTGACCGGGAACTACAAAGTTTTAATGCCGAAAACAGTTCCAGGGCATTCGCAGCTAAGTCCCCCTGAAGTCTATTCGCAGTTTTAGTCCATGCGAACAAGATGGCCGCCACCTCTTGGTCGAATGGAACTTCGAATGGCTTCGGGAGTTCGAAGTGCCACTTTGAAAGTTTGAATTGTTCCAGTTAGACACAAGAGGCACAACCAGAGTCTTTAACTTCAAGTTCATTACAGGGGCCATAGTCACAGGGCAGGAGGCTGGCAAACAGGCCCCTCCAAAAACCAGTGGCGAGGTCACTTTCGCCACACCCAGCTACAGCCAGAGTTACCGGGAGTAGGGACAGTTGGTCATACTCCTCAGCGGCCGAGTATGTTATTGGGAGAAGAGACGGTCTGTCTCTTTCTCAGCGGCAGTGTATCCTACACGGTATGGAGACAATCTGTCTCACTCCCCAGCAGCAGTATGCAGTACAGGGAGCGTAAGGTGTCGTCCTTCCTCCCCAGCGGCAGTGTGTGTTACAGGGAGAGTAGATGGCCGGTCCCTCTCCCCAGCAGCAGTATGCATTACGGGGAGAGGAGCGTATCGTCCTCTCTCCCCAGCGGCAGATAGAGTTACCGGGAGTAGAGACAGTTGGTCTCACTCACCAGCGGTAGCTGGATATACCAGAAGAGGAGACTGCTGGTCCCTCCTCCCAATTATATTGGATTACAATTATATTGGATGGCCCGTCCAGATCCCCAACCAATCCCGCAGGAATAACAGGAGGGGGAAGAAGCCGATGACTCCTCTCCACAGCCAATTTCCAACCAGGTACTGGGGTTAGTGGATGAGACTGCAACACCCACTGACCCCCTTCCAGCAGAAGAGCTGGCATCAGGGCAATACACAGCTGGCCTCTTGTTACAGGGCAGGAATATGTACCAGTCCCGCAAGTGGAAGAGCTGGAACCAGGGCAGAGAGCAGTTGGCCTCTGCCCTCCTCTTTCCCTTTGTCCAGAGCCTGAATACCCGCAGGCCACCCCAGCAGAAGCACTGGCAACAGAGCAGAGTGCAGTTGGCCTCTGCCCTCTCCTTGTCCTCAGTCCAAGACCGGACGACCCCCTGACTTACCTAGCAGTAATGCTGGCTACAGGGCAGAACACCACTGGCCTCTGCCCACCAAGTACATACAACTTCATGCTTGGGAGTACAAGGGAGATCGGGGGTGACAGACGCCCATTCCGCAGCCTTGGACATTCAGGACAAAGCCGGGCACCAGAGATTTACAGGTCAAGTGCTTGGTTGTGGGTGGGCTGCCAGACTAACTCAGGTACTGACCGGCAGAAGGTCAGGTACCTGGTTAGTCTTCCCTTGGGGGGAAGATATGTGCTGAAAGTAACCTCACCACTGGCTTTTGGAGGGGCCTGTTTGCCAGCCTCCTACCCTGTGACTATGGCCCTAGTGATAAATCTTGGTTAAAACCACTGTTCGTGCCTTTTATGACTTATATGGTAACACTTCGAACTCTCGAAGCGGCACTTCGAACTCCCGAACTCTCAAAGCGGCATTCGAACACGTGGCCGCGTCCATCTTAAGCCGCGAACACAATGAGCGGTGTTTGGTCGTCAAGTACTTGGAACTCAAATCGGACACTCGACGGCACAAACACCGCGAACTATTTACCTTCCACGGATATTCAGCAATTCGAACGGGAGTTGAACGGCGTTCGGTAAGAATTAACTCCTGAACGAGAGACATAAACTGACTTTTTGGGGTTTTATAGAAATGGGTGTTTTTTTCTGCCTGGAGATAACTGAGTTAATGCAGTATCTGACTCAATTATCTCCCAGACAGAGGGGAGCAATTGTGTGCTGTGTGTGGGAGTGTCGTGCCTTGTAACCTTATTGTTAATGATCTGTAATGTTGTAACTCAGTCTACCATCAGGTCCATGTGGGCGTACCACTTGCTTGGGGATTGTCATTTAAGGCCAAGTGTGGCATCATTAAAATCAGTTCCTCTTCACCCTCAACATAGAGCCTCATCTCATGTATGGAGGGGAAAGCTATATTTACTCTGGGGATTGCTGTACTCATTATAGTCCCTTGGGTTCTAATCACTAGCTCTTTTAACAGCTGTTCCTGCTATACTCTCTGGAGTAGGAGAGGTTCACCCGCTGGAAGCTGGATCCTGGTTTTGGGTCCAGGGTAGGTGGAGGATGGTGAGACCCCAACCAAGCTGCGGCAGCTAAGGGGCTACAGTGCTGATGGTGTCTGGTGGAGTGCTTGGAGTCCTAGGAGCATCGATTAGCAGAGGCACCCAGTTGGGTCACAGACACATGTCTCTTTTCAGCTATATAACTATGTAGAGGTATCTGGTCTGGTGATCGCCAGGTCTGCCTCTTTCTGGGTGGCATTTTCTGCACCTATGGCAATAACAAATCCTATAATTGCTTTAATAAGCTTCAATGACATTTCCATAAAAAATTACTCTACAAGGGTAAGAATCCTAAACTATGTCAACTATCCTTATAGAGCCTGGAGATTAATACAGTGTGGAGGGTCTGAGCAAGATTTTAGGACAAAATAGTTACATTGAAAACATTCTTTATTTTTCCAGTTTGATTATTATTGCCTAAAACGTGCCTCACCTCTCATCCCCCACTATTAATATTATTATTATTATTGCCATTTATATAGCACCGACAGATTCCATAGCGCTGTACAGTATTATGAGGGGGGGATTTAACTATAAATAGGACAATTACAAGAAAACTTACAGGAACGATAGGTTGAAGAGGACCCTGCTCAAACGAGCTTACATTCTATAGGACGAGCTCACAGTCTATACCTGGTTAGTGAGTGGGTCCCATTCTGCTATTCCAACATTAAGTTCCCAAAAAGAGAATAACACCCAGGAAGCCAATATTTGTGTTTCTGCTGGTGCCTAACTACTACTCCTATCATCCTCAGCTGGCTACTGCTCTTATACTGGTCCTGTACAGGCAGAACAACTATGTTGTACCTGCAGAGCTTTGTACAGTAGATTACATTTTGAGCAATCCATGTGAGAATTATAAAATAGTAAAATAAATAAAAGAATATCAGCACATGTCCCCAATTACTAAAGTGATATAAAATAATTTATTATAATAATTAAATTTTATTAATCCTGCACGTCCATACAATGTAAGCTCATCATACACCTCCCAACATTTCAAATGGACAACGATGGACACTTTAATTTTAGGGGTGTGGCTGGGGATTTGGCCAGGGGCAGGACTGTCCTAAGAAATTTCAGAAGAACAATGTATATTATTTACACAGACTGATTTCTAATCACATTTATTGCAGTTAAAAAAGACATATTGCTGGGAGTATTATTGCTGTGGAGCTCTGCTGTAAAAAAAAATAATAAGTTCAGCACTTATCACAATTTTAAACCTAAAAAAATAAAATAAAAATGATACACAAGGAGTCAAAGGTTTCTTTCCAATGAACGCGGTTTGTAAGTTACTGTAAGTCGTTATTAATATAAAGCTCTTGTGTTGGTGTGGAAGATAAGTTTCTTCCTTTAAGGCACCTCCAGCACCGAAAGGGTTAAAACTCACCAAACAAAATCAAAACATTTTTAACAAAATTTTTCTGTGCTTTAAAATCAGGCTTTAACCATCGGGGCTGGGGACTCTCAACCTGTTTTACAATATTTGAGCATTTTAGTAACAGGATAAATGCTTCTGCAATCCTTTATTTCACTCAACGATAAAATATCAACTTTGGATGCAAAGGTTTCACGGCTTGGTAGATCCATCCACTGAAACTCCAACCATGCGCCTTCCTGCTCTTCTGTTACACAAGCACCACGCGACTTATAAGTTTCACCTCTCCTGGCCTGTCTTAAAGTCTGACAATGCATCTCAGGGTATCAGGTTAAATAATCTCCCTAATTATCCATCAATTAAACAACATTGTAACAACTTGTGTTTCATTGCCAAACCTACATTGTTACGTTTCTTATAAGACATGCATTGCTACAGCTCATATGCAAATCAGCTATATAATTATAAATCAATCAGCGTTGCTTGTTTAAAATTGGGTTGTGTTCCCACACATCTGTATGGATAAATACCCATAAATTGAAGAAGTGAGTTTTCCTTAACCCCTTAAGGACACATGACGTGTGTGACATGTCATGATTCCCTTTTATTCCAGAAGTTTGGTCCTTAAGGGGTTAAAGAGACGATATTTAAACGCTATACTGCAGAGATATCCTTCTAAACATTATTCTCTCAAAGAGGATTTACCTAAAAGCTGATATTTTATCAGCAAACGACTATCCTTAAAGGGACAGTACCATCATTAAAAATAATACCTTAAATTAAAACCACATGTACAGGAATACTCTAAAGTGTTATATATCTGTATGGGAAAGAATCTCATACATCTAAAAGTAGCATATTTCTTAAAAAGAAAGCATTTAGAATTCCAAATTCAGAAACTTTTAAATATCATACATGTTGTAGGGATATCCTTCGCAAAGCCTTGTCTTCAATAAACTTATAAAAAGAACCCTAACAACATATATCGGAAAACATTAACTATACTACAATCCAAAATTAATTTAAAAAAAAACAAAAACAATTCAAAGTCTATATTCTATAAAGCCCCTTTCTATGTTATTAATATGTTCCAGAATTCTTGTTTTAAGAGAACTTTTAGTCCTCCCAATATACTGGAGACAACAAGTACACTGAAGTAAATGAATTACTCCTTTTGAATTGAATGTGATTACATCTTGAACCTTAAAACTTTTCCTGGACTGATTTGACTTAAAATACTCACAGTTTCTATCAATTTTCTTACAAGATTTGCAGGCTTGACAGGCCCCACACTTATAAAATCCATTTTGCAAATTAAAAAAATGTTTCTTATGTTCCACTCCAGGTAGCATATTGGGAGCTAATACTGATTTAGTATTATTTGCTCCCTTAACCCCTTAAGGACCAAACTTCTGGAATAAAAGGGAATCATGACATGTCACACATGTCATGTGTCCTTAAGGGGTTAAAGACTACACTTGGATTCTCCTATCTTGGAAACTGCTTGCCTTGAGATGGTTTGCTTGATTTTTCTGAGCCTGATTGGTGTAGTTCAGGGGTAGGCAACCATCGGCACTCCAGATGTCGTGGACTACATCCACTTTAATGCTCCTACATCCATAATGCTGGCAAAGCATCATGGTAGATGTAGTCCAAAACATCTGGAGTGCCAAAGGTTGCCTATGCCTGCTGTAATTCAAAATGATCAGGATTTCTTTATAGCTCTGTTCTAAACTCAGGCACATCAACAATATGGAGCTCTTAGAAAAGAGGGATGAGACGGAAAAGAGGGGCAGAGGAATTTGGATCCAGAATAAGGACAGTCCCTCGTAAATAAGGACACTTGGAAGCTATGCAGTCATGGCAAACATTTGTTCAAGCTCAAATTAATATATAGCTCAAAAGCTAAATCTGACAAAAGATTATATCATCCAAACGACAACTAGAGGGAGCCTGAAACACATTGTCTTTATTCCCACCACAAGTAATTGCTGTACAACTATACAACCACAAGGTGGCAGAGTTGTACTACCTACTAGTAGTTGTGCCAGGCTCAATCTTTACCATAGCTCCCGTAAGTTAATTGTAGATGGAGATTCAATGCATTCCACTGGCTCTCCATTAAATTAAGTAGCAATGCTTGTAATTCATCATGACACGCAATGCACATCTGCGTCTAATTGACGATGCATTACGCAAACAAGCTGATATGTAGGGAATCAGGATGACACCATCTTTATTTAATGCATAGCGTATCTTTATTTCTCATTAATCTTACTGGTGTCAACCAAATGCAATCATCTCGTCAGAAACACCAGAAACATCTCTGTAAGGGCAACAGGGTGAGCAATGTTTAATAAGTAAATAGCCGTGCCTCCCGAGAAGAAAATACATGTACAGGTTTTCAATGTTTCCAACACAGCATCATTTCACCATAACATAATCCTACCATTATGTATGGGCTGGTGAGATAGTGTTTGGGATAGGGATGTTAATGGTGGTCTTATTGTTAGTGATAAGGCCAGTCAGTTTGTATTAGTGATAAAGTTATAGTTAGTGTTGGTGTTGGTGTTAATGAAAGGGTTGGGGTTAACATTGGTGATAGGGTTACAGTGAGTGAAAGGGTTAGTGATTCAGTTTGTATTGAGGTTAATGTTGATCTTAGTGACGTGTTAGGGATAGTGTTAGTGATAAGGTTGGGGTTAGTGTTAGTAATAGAGTAAGTGATAGGATTAAAGTTAGTGCTTTCGCTAGTGTTAGTGTTAGTGATAGAGTTTTTATTGGTGCTAGTGAAAGGATTGGGGTTAGTGTTAGTGTTGGTATTAATGATAAGGCTGGGGAATGTGTTATTGTTAGATTTTGTGTTAGTGCTATTGATAGGGCTGGTTATAGTGTTAGTGGTGGTGTTAGTGATCTGGTTGGGGATGGTTTTAATGTTAGAGTTTGTGTTTGTGTTAGTGATAGGGTTAGTATTAGTGATAGTGTTATGGTTAGTGTTGATATTATTGATAAAGTTGGGGATAGTGTTAGTGTTGGTATTATTGATACGGTTAGTGATAGGGTTAGGGATAGTGTTGGTGTTAGTGATGGGGTTGGGGAGAGTGTCAGTGTTGGTGTT